GTCGGCAGGCATGAGCGGCTTCCTCACACGGAGGTGCACTTGGTGATTACAGCGCGGTTGAGTCTCCCGCTCGGAAACCAGATTGTTCGTGCGGTGCCTGATCTGGTGCCACGTGTAATGGCGCATGTTCCGGGGGCCTTCCTGTACCCCTCCTATGTTCAGCACCACGTGCGATCGAAGGATCCGCCAGCCACCCCCACGGAGATGGCTACCTTCCTTCCTGCTCTCCCTCCCCCTCTCCATCCCCCTCTTCACCCCACTGCGGACCATATCCGCTAAGTCTGTCCTGTTATCCCATCTTAGTCCCGATCCCCGCTCTCTTCTTCCCTTGCCTCCTTCCCTTCTTCCGCAGAATCTTCTTCTTTTTTGAAAGGTGAATAGAGCGTGCAACGGGTTGCGCTGCATAATGATGTTGCCGATCGGGCTAGCTGAAGATTGAAGTGGCCGCCTGATCGACCGTGTAATTACATTTTGGAGGCATAAAGTGTGAGCCCGCACTCTGTGTAGATTATATCAATGATCAAGGCCAACTGACGTCTGAAGGGGTCGGTTTGATAATCCAATAGACATGGACACGTGGCCGGCAGTCAGGAGGCTGCCAATTTTTCGGAACCCCTTGCGTATCACAGATATGATAAGCCAAGTTCCGCACGTTGTGGCTTCACATACCCTTCGGGCTAAACCCCGAAGTAAGCCCCAATTACGGATCTCGGCGAGGAGATGGGTGAATGGGGTTCAGGCCTTCAATTTTCAGGGATCATTGCAATGTTTTTTTCGAGTTTGTCCTTGTCTTTCCGCAGATTAGGGCGGCCAATGAGCGACCAAAGGGGAGTCTTCAAAAGAAACGGTTATAATTTCGGTTGTCGCAAGTTTTTAATTTAATTGCCAAGCATGCACGCGTGCGGCCATTTTTCAAATTCTTGCACGCTCATGCAAGCGAGCTTCCCGCTTCCGCTTGCGCGCCAACTTCTTTGTCTATGTGACCCCTTCGTCCACTCCCGTCTTCTGCGAGTGATTGTTCGTCAGCTGGGCTGGTCAGATCAAGCCATAAGAGCGAACTTACTCTCGTGGCTTGAACAGCCACCCCAATTGTGCGAAAATTTCAATCATCCCGCCTTCGTCGGCCTTCTGGAACGTTGTTCCTTCTCTCCTCCTCATCTACCACCCTCGACTTCCTTGCATTACACGCCGGTGCCCTGGCGCCTTCCACACTATAAATTTGTGCAGCCCCCTCCTTTCCTCCTCTTTGATCTCGGCTGCAATGCTGCACGAGCTATGCGCGAAGGCTGCCGTGCTAAACAGGCTCGATGTGCTCAAGGATGGGCGGAGTGACGGCGTGGGGTAAGCTTAGCAGTAGTTTCGGTGGGTGGTAGTCGGAGGGACTGAGTGGCGGTGGAGATGAATGTGTGGCCAATGGCAGAGGGCCTTGTGGCTATGCTGGTGCAGTGGTGCCCCTTTGGTTGGATATGGTGGCTGCACACGTGGAGTGCCAACATTAATGTTGTTTAATCAGAATTGCGAGGAACTTCTGCTTCTTCTCCATCGTTACTTTGTCCGAGTGTCCATGAGTGCCAAAGACTAAGCGTGTGAAGTAAGTGGTGTGCATGACGTTGGCTGTGACTGTGGAATGGATGCATGATGCTTCGTCATCAAAAAGTCTATGCATGTATGGTGAGGATGCATGGTTGAGTGGAAGTCAATTGGTTGCCCTCACTCTTGTTGATTGGATTGGTCTCAACCATCTACCTGGATGTATGAGTGTGCTGATACCCCCTTGCTCTGACTGATCCGGCGTTCCCTGCACTTGGCATGAGAGTGAACCTGTTGCATTGCCCCCTTTCGTTATCCCCATTCCTCTTGCGCACGAATGCGAGGGAACTGACCTGCCTAATCTCTCGCATCGTGTATACGGTAAGAAGTTGGGGAACATCGGGCATGAAGGTCACGTCATAATGCCTGATTTCCTCCATGTAAATCATTGCCATTTTTGTAGAGTGATAATTTTGTTGGGGTTGTCGTCATCGCTGTCTTTCTTGTGCGGTGATTGAGTGTCAGGGCTGGGAACCAGGATTGGAATCAAAATTGTATTGAAGTTGAGGTTGGCCAGTTTGAGTGTAAGCGTGGGTAACTGCCTGTGCTCTGACCTCATATCGATCCGGCATAGCAGCCTCCTTGAGTTCCCGGTTGCAGACAAAGAGGGAGTCTACTGTGATGCGGATGTTAGGAGGACGCTATTGCAGACCGATCGGGTTCACCTATATAACCCACCGAAAGTATGCCACATCGGCCGGGAGAGATCTGTGGATTAATCAGTTTGACGCGCCCCAGCTGATTCTGCCATATTCTGACCTCACTGCGCCACTGCCCTGGTCTGCTCCGCATCCCACGTGGAATCCGTAGTTTAACTGCAGGTGGTGTGGAAGCTCGGAAATTTGTGTTCCTGGCAACGGATGGTGCTGGGGTACCAAGGGTCCATTCGGTTCCCGGATCTCTCCCGCCATGCGGGTGCACTTCCAGCGGGCTTCCGGGTCCCTGTACCTCTGCGCCAACCGCCGTCGGATAGCGAAGAGTCCGACCGGTCCAATGATCGCGATTAACGGACTCCGACTTTCCTTCTTTCTTCAGAAGGGTGGCATGAATGTAGACCCTTTTCTTCTTTTTACTAAGTTTTAGCTTGTTTACGCTTTCTTTGTTGAAGGATTTTTGTCTCTTTCGGATATATCTCTGCTGACAAGGGAAATTTTGAAACTCGTTCAACGTCTCCCTCTCCCTTTTCACAATTCTGTCATTGCCCTTGTCAATTTTGTGTTTCCGGAAGTATCCTTGGGACTGAGGCGAGAACCCCAGTAGTGTTAGATGTACCACTCTGCTCATCGAAATAGGCTAACTCTGCTTGCCACACTTCTAAATGAGGATAAACATCTAGTTTCAGGTTATAGTCCATATGTGGACAGTGGACTATAGCCTATATCTTGTGAGTACAGCCTATGGACTATAGCTTGTGGACTATAGGCTGTAGACTATAGGCTGTAGACTATAGGCTGTGGACTTCAGGCTGTGGACTAAAGTCTGAACGAGTGTGGTTTCAGGCTATAGTCCATATGTGGACTATAGCCTGAATGTATCTGACCAACCCCACAGGTGAAATGGATACAGTCAAACCTGAAAGACTTTAATGCAATATTCCTGAGTGTAGCATGGGTGGGCTAAGCTTCCCCTGCTGGGATGAGGGTGGCTGGTGAGGTCACCTGATTGGATGCATCTATAATATTCTATATCTAACCCCCGGGCGCATGAGGATAGTAGTAGTAGTATGGATTCCGTACGTCTGGGCCTAAGTCCTCCTCCATGCAAGCACAGATTCGAACCGGCGACCTCGGCCTCAAGAGCCAAATCTCTTAACCACTATAGCCAGGACAAGGTGTTCAAAAGGGGAATCGTACCGGTCGTGATATCCACCCCACCCCTGCAAGGCTGTAGTGTCCAACTCAACACACACCACACACAACACCCACGGACACGGCAATTCTCGTACGCTTCGCTCTGTAGCCAGCACGTACCGCCCGCTGGTACTCTTACCCGCTCACACAGACGGGACTTATCAATGCCCGCGGTTGACGGGCGCTTCCACAGTAGTATGGATTTCGTACGTCTGGGCCTCAGTCCTCCTCCGTGCAAGCACAGATTCGAACCGGCGACCTCGGCCTCAAGAGCCAAGTCTCTTAACCACTACAGCCAGGACATGGTGTTCAAAGGATAGGCCATTCATAGATGTATATGACTGCAATTGCCAGCATATTCAAGTGAAAATATCCTAGACGGTGAACTGAAGGTTTGGCATGGAGAGGGGGGTACCAGTTGTCTTGTGCAAAAGAGAACTTGCAAATTCCACTATGCAAGATTGTGGCAAACTTTGCGCATCTTTTTTCTTTTGAAATACAGGCAAAATCACCAAATTATTGATTCACAAGAAATAAAGAAAAAAATGAAAAAGTCACACGAGTAGGCGAATTTGACGCCGGTCTTTCTGGGCCCAGCAGGTGGTTGCTTGGTTGGAGTCTGCATGTATATGTGCTCAGAGATTGGCAGTTGGATGGGTTAGGCCAGGATTAGAGGCTACCATCTTCACTCTAGTACAACACAGTCATTTTTATAGCTGGATTTGGGCCAAATTTCAGTCTCGATATGGCGATAATGAGTGTGTGTTCTATTTGGATGAAGACGGTAGTTTGGGCAGCCCAAGTGCGGTTGAAAAGCTCCTCCTCCTCCTCCTCCTCCTCCTCCTCCTGTTCTCCTCTTCTCATGAGGGTGGGGGTTCTTAAAACACTAGACCCCCTGGATGTATCTGGACTTAGATAGATACATCTAGGGGGTCCGGCATTTTAGGAATGCCGGACCCTCAGGAGCTAAAAATTTGACATTTTCTGGCCGCCAAATCAGTCGGTTTCAATTTCGTTCAAAAAGTATAAAATGTCCATTAGTTTTAACGAAATGGCTGTTCTTTCTCCTCTTCTCCTCTTCCTACCTGGCTCTCCACCTGATCCTGTGTCCCCTTCTCTTCTTCGTCCTCTTCCGCCTCTACCTCCTCCTCAAAGTTTCTTCTTTTTCTTCCTCTCCTCTTCTTGTTTCCTTTCCATTTTCTGTCTTTCTAACTGCTCCAGCTTTTCTTCTTCCTTCACTACCGTCTTCACCCGAATAGAACGCCCGGTCATTATAGCTGCATTTGGCCCAACTTTCAGTCCAGATGCAGCGATAATGACCGGGCGTTCTACTCAGGTGAAGACGGTGGTAGGCCTACTAGAAGGGAATGCCAATATCAGCCACCCTCTCTAGTACTGAGGTTGGGTTCAAAAAAAGAAAAAGGGGGTGCTAAAGACGTGGCAAACGAGGTCCGACTGTAGGAGGTCAGTTATAATACCCATGCCTGTAGTCTCGTTTTTTTGTTGGGCATAACTTTGAGGGTGTGTCTCTCATGGTCCTTTTGTCTGCTGTGCTGCCAGGGCCCATATATGGTTAAGCTTACGGCCTACGATAGGGACGCGACGCTCCTTTTCTGCGCGGAGGTCAAATTCAGAATCACACTCTGAACTTTTCTGAAGAGACCCCTTCTTCAAGCTATTCTCTATTTATGTGAGGTGAAGATCGGTGGTGAAAAAGAAATGATCGATGGTGGGGAAAATAAAAAGGATCGGTGGTGAAAAAAAGGAGATCGGTGGAAAGAACATCGGCAGAGTTTACCTTTTTCGGAAGTCTTTTTCGAGACGCTCCTTTTCTGTACGGAGGTCAAATTCAGAATCACACTCTGAGCTTTTCTGAAGAGACCCCTTCTTCAAGCTATTCTCTATTTATGTGAGGTGAAGATCGGTGGTGAAAAAGACACGATCGATGGTCCGGTGGTGAAAAAAAAGGAGATCGGTGGAAAGAACATCGCCAGAGTTTACCTTTTTCGGAAGTCTTTTTCCCCTTTCAAGCCGCAAGAAACAGAAGTTTTGTCTGGTGTTCTCGGCATCGTTTTTCTTTCTTTTTTTTTACATACATAGCCTGGTCCAAACTATTGGTGGGGAAAAAATATATATATTGTTCCTGGCATCGGGGAGAACAACTCTACAAATGGGAGGATCCACCCGGTTTAAAAAAAAAACAGGGGGGGGGGGGGGGGGCGGAAGTCCACCAGGAGGTACTGTAATTATGGATGGGACCATCCTATTATATAATCTGGAAGGCAAAATAAGTAGTGAGTTCTTTTTCGCTCTGATGCCGATAGCTCACAGTGCAGTGAGACTAATACCGAGAAGCAGTCTACACAGAACCATACCGAGAAGCAGTCTATACAGAACCATACCGAGAAACAGTGTATACAGAGCTATGCTGACTAATACCGAGAAGCAGTCTATAGACTCTATACAGAACTATACAGAACTATGCTGATCCATATAGTCCACTACAGAACTGGGCTGAAACACTTGTGTTAGGTAAGGGGACAAGTGGGGGGCTACCCATGGGTCGATAGAATAATAGATTCAGGCCTAGCTCCCAAGGTACCCTTGTGACGAGGCCCGGAAGATAGTGCCTCAACCAGGGCTGGAAGGGGCTCCCAAATAGTGCTGGTGCCCATGATCGTTGTCTGGTCAAGGTTGCTCCAAGCAGAGTGATATCCTTGAAAAATGAGGTAGGACAGAAGGAGGTGGGGGTACACCAGGAAATATTGAGAGGTGGTGGGGACACTGGGGAGGGACTCATGAAGCAAGTTTGCAGAATAGGTAATGAGTGAGTTGACTGTACTTGTGCAAAAGTAAGGGCCAGCATACCGTTTTTGCCTTGTGTGTTTCACAAACTTTAGAGATGGAGGTGTCTTTCTGAGAGCTGATTGGGGTGCAATAAACGTTGTCAATTACTATAAATATGTGTAAAGAGGACATCTTCATAAATTGTGGGGACGATCTTCGTTCTCAGCACTGATGGAACATGGTAGTGACATACAGAGAATGCTGCAGAACCTTAGAACAGTAGAACTCCACCTCTTTCCAAGGATTGTCCCTGCTCATCTCCTTCGAACCTCGTGGAGAGGGAAATCATGCAGGTTCCATTGGGACTTCCTCCACACCTGGTGGAGAGGGAAACTGTGCAGGTTTCATTGGGACTTCCTCCAAACTCGACCATTTTTTAATGCTGATTATTCGTCATCTGTTGCCCATTCCATGCAGTTTGACACCCTCCCCTGCCTCCCCAACTCTGTATGTGTGTGTGTGTGTGTGTGTGTGTGTGTGTGTGTGTGTGTGTGTGTGTAATTTGAGACGGAACCCCCACGTGAACAGACGTGGCGAGCTGCGCAGAAAAAGCACATCAAGCAGCATACCAGGAAATAAATCATCCACGTCATATGGCATGACCAAAACAAGCAAATAAAGAGAAGTTGAATGCCCTACTGTTGAAGCCAAACAGACTAGAACATGGGGAGGGGGCAGGGAGCACTTCATATGGCATGACCAAAGCAAGCAAACAAAGAGAAG